TCTCTGTGAAAGCCGTGCTGAACATCTAGCTTCATGAGGCGTTACGTAAACAAAGTACCCCATTAGTAGCCTTTCCGAGTTATGTAACTAGGCTATGGCTGGGAAAGTCACCGTCAATAGAACATAGATGGAGGCTTTTGTGCATTTCATATGAAACACATGCCGCCTTGTCCGCACCGTGTTATCCTATGCAACCGATCTTGCGCAAGTATTCGTCACATCTAGCTGCTTCCTTTCCTTCGTGTTCACAAGGCGGACCGACATTCTTTCAAACGACAAGTCGCAAGTGTTCGCTGTGTCGTAAGTGGGGATGTGAATTACTGGTAAAATTTCAATGCGGTATCGAAGCTTACTTCAAGCTTGCGCTTTTTCTTCTCGCTGAGCGGATAGAACTCGTCCATGTACTTGACTTGGGTTTCTTCCAATGGTACTTGTAGCTCAGTGACCACAGGAGTAGGTGATTCGGCACCAATGGGTTCAAATGGAGCTGGACCAATATCCTCATAGTCATCACCATAGACCGACTCCTGAAAGAAAAATGTGTTTTAAGTCATTCTAGACTTCAAAAACACTCCACTTTAACTGTGAAAAGATTGCAATTTCCGTAAGAACGAGAATGATTTTCTGCAGCGTCCTAAAACAAATTTTCAAATGCAAGTGTTTCGTGTAGGATCAACGGAGAAACAATGTGGTTTCACTGTCACTGCCCGCTTTTGTGCACGTGCGAGTTGCGCTGTCGCTCTTCACAGCCGGAGCACTTGTCTCTCTGTTTGTGCACTATGGTTTGAGTCGCAGCTCGTGCCTGCGTATCCATACATATGTTCGTTTGTCGTTCGCGTTAGTGTTGCCACCAGCATCATTAACACCAACGCTTCGACACCCATCTGTAAACAAGCACGCAGCACACACGCGCGAACTATAAGTCACCTTAGCAAAAACACAGCAGCCCTCCGCGAATGCGATGAACCACCTCATTCCTCGTTACGGTATTCGTGACCTCGTGCGTGTTGCAAAGTCCAAAGACAATCGCGCGCCAAGGACTCGCGCGGTATTGCCGAAATCCCACCATCTTGGTGGGGGCGCAGTGGTAAAGCGCTTATGAGGGTTATATCCTTGGGGACAGAAAAATGCATAAACAATGAGGAAATTTGGTGGA